CCACCACAAAGACACTCCCCCGCCGGTAGATAAACAGAGAATGGTTCGCATGGAAAGCACGAAAACCCAGATTAAGCAGTGCCTGGGCAAAATTTTGGTACCAGTTGCGAGAGGCTTGACGTAGCCCATAGATGGACTTGTGAAGGCGATAGACGCGGTTATCACCAGGTTGAGAAAAACCAGGAGGGAGCTGCATGTAGACTTCCTCTTCGAGATCGTCATGTAAGAAGGCATTGTTGACGTCGAGCTGGTGAAGAGTCCAACCACGGCTGACAGCAACGGCAATAAGACAACGAACAGTAACCAGTTTAGCTACCGGAGCAAAAGTGTGGTGAAAATCGAGCCCTTCAATCTAAGTATAACCCTTGGCCACGATATGGGCTTTAAAATGCTCAATGCTGCCATCGGGATAATACTTGATTTTGAATACCCATTTTGTGGCTATGGCGCGCTTTCCCGGAGGAAGGACAACCAGTGACCAAGTTCCATTTTGTTGAAGAGCAACGATTTCCTTGATCATAGCTTCACACCAGCGCGGATCACGCATGACCTGCAGTAAGAAACACATGGTAAGGTGGAGTGAAATTATCATAATTAATGTGATTGGAGAGGGGATAGCGAATGGTACTTCCCTGAGGAGCCTCCGCTGGAGCGTCCCAAGTCACCGGTCCCATGAGATAATTCTCCAGATATTTGGGACGATGGCGAGAACGGTTTCCATGACGTAACTCGGGGACAGGCGGCGGAGGCTGGGGGAAGCAGGAGGCGAACTGGCATGAGGTGTAGCAGTCGTCGGCGATGAATGAGGAGATGATGACCTGTCATTATTTGGAGGAGATGCTGGTAACGTGGGCTCCTCATCCATGCGCTGCGCCTCACCAGTAGTGAGAGGAGGACAAGGGGAGGTAATGTCATCATCATCCGCTGGGACTTGTATTTCAGTGAAGATGGGAGGAGGCACCCAGTGAAGAGAGGTCTGCGTGGAAGCTTGGAAAGGAAACATGGTCTCGTGGAAGATGACATCACTAGAGGTGATCATCTTGCGATCAGCTAGATGATAGACCCGATATCCTTTCTGACTAGTAGCATAGCCAAAAAAGACGCAAGCTGGTCCACGCTCTTCGAATTTATCGAGATGGCCATGAGTTTTCTTGGCGTAGACTAGGCAGCCGAATACACACAAATGTGCATAAGTTGGTGACCGATGAAAGAGAAACTCGTAAGGGACGGACCCGGTGACTGAACTCGCCAATCGATTAATAAGATAGGTGGCGGTCAGAATACATTCGCCCCAAAACTTGAGAGGAAGAGTAGCCTGGAATCGAAGTGCTCGAGCAGTATCAAGCAAGTGACGATGCTTGCATTCGAGAACCCCATTCTGCTGAGGGGGTATCTGTGCACGATGTCTGGAAAAGAATACCTGCAGAATCATAGTACTCACGAAGGGGTGGAGTGGTAAACTCGGATCCATTATCTGTTTGCACTCGTTTCACCTATGCTTTAAACTGAGTACGAACCATATGGAAGAACTGGAGCAGATAATGACTAACATCCGATTTATAACGCATGAGATAAACCCAAGTACCACGACAAAAGTCATCCACGATTGTCAAAAAATAGTGTGCACCACTCAAAGAAGGTACTTTGTAACCACCCCCAAATATCAAAATGAACAAGCTCAGAACATGACTTCGTCTTAATAAAACTGGAAGAAAAAGGACTACGGGTTTGTTTAGCACGTAAACAGGAGTGACAAGGAGCCTGTTGTGTGCTGACAGAGACTGATAAGGACGAACTGAGACACTGCAACTTATCCGATGAGGGGTGACCCAACCGTGCATGCCAAGTGGTCTCTGTGACCTTCGAACCTCCCTGAACAGAACACGCATGTGCACGCCCTTGACCAAACAAGTGCAGGTAATACAACCCATCACGCATTTCACCCTTCCCAATCAACTTCTTGGAGCGTAAGTCCTGGATTACGCAGAAATCAGCGAGGAATATTAGTGCAACCTGATTCTCTTTAGTGAAGCGACTAACATATACCAAATTACATCGAAATTCTGGTAAATGAAGAACCCGACCTAGTGTTAACCCAGACTGAAGATCAATTTTCCCAATATGTTGAACTGGAATGCTTGCCCCATTCGGAATCCGAACTGGTGGCCCATTCACACTGACATGCTTATTAGACAGTAAGGTATCATCCATGGTGATATGTTCATTGCATCCCGAATCGAGTAACCACTCAGAATCAAAATAAATAGTACCTGCCATGTGAGCCACAGGATCATCGACTGGATCGGACTTCCCGAAGAACTGTTTCAGCTGCTCAAGCTGAGATATAGTAAAACCAGGGATCGGACTCTGCTGGTCGCGATTCACTTGAGATGCTTTCGGCTCTCGCTGCGAAGGGTTCTCTGATGAAGAACGCGCTTGGCGTCGATTGCCCCTTACACCTTGTCGTTCACCTGACTTGTCGCGATGAGGTTACCCATATCCATCCCCATTCGTCAGGAAAACCACCCACGGCGTTCCTAATTCCCGCGTGTCGATCATATATAATCGTAATACCCTGCCGCTGTGTCACGTGTTCGTGTAGTTGGTCAAAGAACCATGCCCAACTTAAGCTGTTCTCCCCTAGCACTAATGAAAATGCAAGCGGGAAAATCCGCATATTTCCATCAACCCCAGTGGCAATGAGAAGAGTGCCTCTGTACTTCCCAGTAAGGAAAGTTCCATCAACCTAATTAAAAATTAGCAGATAATTAGTGTGAAATTTACTTAGCAGGGAAATTAAACTTTTCTAACAGTAATTAGTTATTACAACAATGTATACACTGAAAGCCCAAAATAGACGGTGAACCATCAACTTTTCCTGTACTCGAACTTGATCCTCAGTGTATATATACATTGTTATAAGAATGCACGAAAACAGTTCCATGGTTGGACTCCTCCATTGCGGCCATAAGTCTAGTGAGTAAAGCATACGAGTCCTCCCAATCACCATACACCTCAGCCATGGTTTTCTGCTTACCATGCCATGCCTTTTTGATCTTATCGTGTGAGAATGTCGATTCTTCTCCTCGGTCATGCTAACTTTGACCTTGATATCTGGTTGTATCTCGATAAGGTGCTTAATAGTTCTCCCGACTTTCTTTGCTTTAAGTTTCCGGTGATCCTAAGAAAGTATGGACGAGGAGCAATTGTGGTTGTTCTCAGCTTTTCAAATCACTCAGACACCCTTTCTCTTCATATTTGCAGCCCGCAGTTGCCACATACAACCCTCTGCAACATTCTTGCATATGACATGTAGTTGTTTACTGTCATAATATTTTACCTTTCACTCGAAATTGCGCCACATGGCATCTTCGGTAAAAGCATCATGCACAGCGTCCTTCGATGTGAACGCCATACCCACCTCCAAATTGGCAGTCAGATTATACACTAGCATAGGGACAACGCCTATTGCATCATTCTAACTATGTAAAAATTGAGTTGGAACCTGTGTGAAGTATGGCGTCGTTGGCTCACGAAATGCCACCTCGTCGCTGGTATCGTCAGTATATTCCTCCTCGCTCACTGATCTCAAATCTTCCTCAGTATCATCGTCGCTCGAGTTGAATGGATAGCTCGGGCCAGAAGGATCAACATGACCACCATCACCAACATCGTCTTCTCGCTCATGTGAAGTACGCCCAGATCGAATGGTATTCTCAATTTCAGCCCACTCTAGCCCCCAAGCAGGCCATTGAACCTCACCGGCCTCAACAAATGGGGCAGGTTCATCCCGTTGCGGGTATTCTTCCAATTTCACCCATCCTGCACCACCACCTCCTCCGTAGTTGCTTGAACTACCACCCAATCTGTAACCTACTGTATAACTACCTCTGCAAGCCGCATCCCTTTATCGCCTAGGAACTATAACATCATCGTAACCGCGTCATCATCGTTTATGACAACTTCTTGGTACACAACCCCGCAAGCACTCATGTCTGGATACCGGTAAGTAATTTTACCAACTCTCGTCTGTCCGCTCCTACAAACCCTGTTTGCACAAATGTCACAGAGTTCTTGCCACGTGAATCACGACTCAATTTTCAACATAGTGGATTCACCGTCCTCATAATCAATCCCAATGTCAGAGTTTGTCACCCTTCCATTCCACCGCATAATAAGCTGAAACTTCTTGAATTTACCCATATCTACAATTTACAATAAGTAACTATTAGCTTAATTCCAATAAAATTAACCAAAACCATACTGTACGACTAATATTACTCCATCTCATAACTAACAACAGCATAAATTCCCAACTAACATAACATATTTGCTACGATAAGTAATTCATTACATACATATAACTACTAAAAACATCATTATATAACAATACAAAATTAAATCATACCGAAAAATAGCTTCTGCGTATGTCGCTCGGTTTTTTTGCTGAAATTTGAAGAGGGAGGGGGGTTACGTTTTTCCAACTGCTCGTGGGAGGGGTATTTGTATGAAAATCGGTCAGCATTCACCGCGTTTGTCCAGAACGGTGAAGGTAGTCACTGCATTGCCCTAAGGCGGTGAAGTTAGGTGGTTGTGACCTAACTTTCCCCTCCCAGGAGTGGGAAACGTGGGAAACTATCACCACCGTAACCTAGAGCGGTGAACGTTTTCCCTGCTTTGCACGAAAACTGTGATCAATTCAATGTTCTTTAAAACACGGTGATTGCTTCACTATTTAAGTAAAACGCGGTGAACCTTTCACCGCTTTAAACAAACACGACGATTTCTTCATTTTTTTTATACGTGGTGACTTATTCACTGTATTTGTCTAACATGGTGATTGCATTCACTGCCTTAGACAAAGACGGTGAATGTGAAACATGTGTAGATTGAATTTTTTTTTTATAATTTATGTATTTTGAAAAAAAAATTTAATTACTAGTGTATATTGGAATTTTTTCCGTCAACTGGTTGTTACTTGTGAACAACCATTTGTTAATAGGCGGTCAAATGTTGTAGAAATGCATATACATATACAAATACAGCTGTTCAAACAATACAATGTTAGTCCCATTTCATGGAAATTTATTAGACACTATTTGGGAATCAGATTGAACCTTCGTAACAATCTGAAAATCTAGCAACAAGGTAGAAGCCATCTAGAATTGAAACCATGGCTAGGGTTACAAGAAATCCCAACTCCATTCCAACACAGCGAACGCAGGTCAAAAGATGATATCCGCCAAAAAAACTGAGCTCAGACAAGCATGGCACAGTAACATCAATAATAACTTAGTAAACAATCAAAAGTTTCCTATCCTATTAAGTCAAAATCCAGTTCTCGATTTTCCCGGCAAAGATGCCTTATATCAAGAGGTGGTCCCTTCTATACTCCCGCACAATCACAGGAACACTTGTTGGTGGGATCTGCAATTATCAGGAAAAGGATTTTGCAGACCAAGTCAATAACACACCAGAATGGGCTGAAGAATGCAACGAACAGATACGAGATCTGGAGCTTTCAGGACCTACCATGCCATAATCAGTGACAATCATAGATACATAATCTGCAGGGGTAGCATCATACCTGCCACGCCACACCCCAAAAATAGCAAGTTCAGACACAAATAATAAGGCATGAATGGGGAAAGAAAACCTAGCACAATCTGGATCACTTACATCAAATTTAGAAGCTGAAGATTGACAGAATTTGACACATCATCGAGGTAGTTCACATCCATTCTCCCAGGTACCTTCCCAATGGCATCAGGATCACCTGCAATCAATTCCAAATTCACCATGTCATGAGTACATGCCTAGTGTCTAAAGTCACATCACAGCTACAAACTAGAAAAACCTTTATTACCAAGCTCATTTGAACAGATCGAGTCCAGTTGCACTCTCTCGTGAAACTTATAAGCTTCGCAGCAAATTATGACGGGAACTCGAAATGCATGGGCAACCATCGCCACACAAGCAGTCCCAACCCTCGAATACACTGTCCCATTAGACAACACTGAAGAAGCACCGAGGAAAACTTTCGTCGCCTCATGCATGACATAGGAAACAGCATTTATGTGAGTGTATGTACAATGCACGCCCTTTACCACCAGCCTACGAAGCAGAGCTTTGCCTTCAAGTTTGGGCCTAGAGTCGACTACGATGACACGGAACTGTTTCCCCAGCCCGTGAGAGTGCAAGAGAATCATCTCAACCACGCACGATGATCCATACACGAGAAGCACATCACCATCCTTCACTTTGTTGGAGGCATGCTGCACTATGACTCTGTCAGCGAGTACTATTTTTTCATTTATGAAACGATCAATGTCGCTGCATATGGAGGATTTTGATTCTGATTCGGAGATAGATAGAGCCAACTTGGCAATGCGATTTTTGAGAAACCTTATGCCATTGCCCATGCTCATGGAAAGTGGTCGGCATTGTGTGAAGAATGAAACATAACTACTGATTTTTGCGGTTAAATCTCTCTGGAGAGTTTTTTCAGGTGGAGTAGAGTAGTCTTGGATGACTTGTTGAAATGCCTGGAGCATTGCTATGCAACGAGCGTTTCCCCCAGAAATATCTCCTGCCAGATACTGCAAACCAACCTGCCAGAAGTTTTGCACAAGAGAAAAGTTCAAAAAAGCAGACCAACTGGAAATATAGTACGAAATAAATGAAATGGATGCCTGAGCTACTTTTACTGAGGCGCGCCACCTAAATTAGAAAGATTGGCAATTTGCAAAGTATAGAAGTATGACAACTGAAGGACCAAGATATCAAGCCATGCTTCCTCAAACTATTAAAATGCTTGCTCGAATTAACCATCTCGTAAAATACCAGACAGACACACAGACAAGGCTTTCAAATTAGAGTTTTTCTAGGTATTGGAGAAGGAGAAAAGAAAGAAAACAACAATTAGGATAAGATGGTTTTCTCTTACGACCATGGGCCTTGGTGCGTGAATGCCTGGCAAAACTTAATGAAGCCGGCTACTATGGATAGGAACTTTGAACTTCAAAAATGCCAAATTACCTTGTAAATTGCAGGGTGCATTGGATCAAGTTGCAGAAATTTTGACTCCAGATCAGCAAGCTGGGTGCCATGTTCATACTGAGGCAAGTGACGAAACAATTCAACCCTATTTCTTGCTTCGGTTTGATCGACCACTGAACGCCTTTTAGCCTTATCAACACGACTCTTATCATCAAATTGCATTCGTGGTGCAGGGGCATCTTTTCTCCGCTCTTTCTCTTGAGACTTATCACCTCCCTTCCGTTCAGAAGCTGCAACTGATACTGCAACATGAGGAGCATCTTTCTTTTGTGTTTGATGCTGTTTAACAGATTTAACAGTAGCCACCTCCTCGGACGCAGCGACAGATTTACCACCTCCAGAGGCTAAAAAGAAAAGAAGACGAGTCAATGTGTGAAAGTTAAAATGGCCATTCAGCAAGTTTTTTTCCCTACTTCATGGGAAAAACAATCAGGTATCAGTTTCATATATATCTTGCTACATCAAAATGAAAATTTGGATGCCGTAACTTCCTCATGAATTATTCCACCTTACTAACATTGTTTTCTTCATTTTGGTTTGGATATCATCCCAATCGTTAATTCACAGTAAGTGATTGAATTCCTATAAAAAGCATTTTGATAAATCTAATATTTCTTTCAGTGAGAAACAGAACATTTTCTCTGATATAGGTCAAGGTTCAATGGCGAAAAGGGAAAGACACAATTTGCTTATGTCAGTAAACCTGCAGTGAATTATCGAAGTGATTATTTTAAATGACACTCAATGGCGGTTTGAACAAGCAAAACTAGAATTCCAGTAAAGAAAAGCCAAACCCAATGGTTCAATGGAATGATTCAGTAGAAAAGCAAAACTCGGCTTTCAGTAGCATTATTCAACTTGAGATTGTGAAACCATCATTCAACAGAATATGTGAACTCTCAGGGGGGGAAAAAACAAAAATAGTCATTCAGATAGGATGTTATATTCACTAAAGGTCCTCGAGGAAAACTAAGAAACAAAATCCTACTGTCAGATTACATGGCAAGGAGCACTAGGATAAAAAAAAAACAAGCTTTGACGTCCAGGGGCTGTTGTAAGATAAGCATAATGCTAACCCATCAACACAAGATGTCCATTCTGCCTATGTAAGTAAATTATGATGTCCTGGGCTCCTGGCAGCTCAAAAAGAGACATCGCAGTAAAAAATAAGAGTAAGATAGTAATATTGCACCTTTTGTAGCAGCTTTGGCAGCACGCTGAGACTCCTGCAATGCACGTCTTTCAGCTTTTGAAAGTTTTGGTTTTGGTTGCTTCGAGCTTGATGGAGCCTCGGGTTGTTGTTCCTTTGGAGCAGGCCTTCCACTTGCTTCTGCAAGGATTGTCTTATTCAGCAAATGTTCTGGGAATAGGAAATTGCAAGAAATAACTAACAAACGAAACTTTTAAAACTGCATTCACACACGCACATAAGCAGCCTATGAGCTAACACACTCCACTAACGTAAAGGCACCTTCTTTTGGGAGCTAAGAAAGCCCAGAAAGCAAAGCTCTCGTATGGGCAACGTTCTTCTAGAAACCCTCTATCAAGTATCACTGAGCCATCTCGATCCATGAACAATCAATCAAGAGAAAATTCAATTCGAATTGACGCAATGCAGTTAGTCATCCTAACATTCAGATTAATTATGCAGTGCACAGTTACTGTTTTCACTAACCAGAAACGCCGACGCGGTTCTGGACCTTGGTGGGTTTCAGAGCCTCAGCCGTTGACTGGACTGAACTGAAGTCAAAGGTCCCGCTAGGCAAACTGGAAGCCAGCTTCGCAGAATTGCTCCGCCGGAACCAGCCACCAGACATCGCCGCCTCAGACTCGCCATCGCCAGCATGACTACCGGAAGGAGAGCGTGTGGCGGGCGGCGACATCGCCAGCAGAGTCTCGGTCGGATTGTAGCTACCGACCAGGGGAGCGTTGTTGTCGGCGCCGGCGTGAGCATCACGGCGGCGGAAGGGGGAGGGTTCAGGAACAGGGAGAGGAGAGGTTGGACGAGGAGCGGCAGCAAGGTTATCGGAGTGGTGACGTGGCGGAGGAATCATGACGGGAGATAGGGAGTTGCTTGCCGGAGATTCGGGGAGCGGCGGAGAGCTAGAATCGGGCGGACCGGATTGGGATCGGGTCGGGGCGGGCTGGGCGTTCGGTGTGAAGAATCCGACCTGGCGAACTCTGGGAACTGGGAGCGAACCTCGACGGGCGTCCATGGCAAAGCGGAGGTCAGGGAGGAAAAGGAAAAAACAAAAAAGGAAGAATTGTACTGCGGCGGCTAAATTACGCGGTAGATGATGGGAACTAGTGGCGGAGAAGCCATTGACGACGAAAAAAGGGTTGGAATTTCGAAGACTCGTTTTTTATTGGGCGAAAAAATTAGGGTTTTGGGTTTTGTGGAGTTGCGGTAGACGATCCCTCTAGGTTGATTGATAGATCGATGGGGACGGGATACGTTGTCGGATTGACAATCAAGGTATTTTGTGTATGAAAAAAAAAATATATTAATTATCTTTTTTGTATTAATTATATTGGAAATTAAAAATCCATATTAAATACAATTTTTTTGAAATTTAAATCCTATACATTAATATCTCTATCTATCTCTCTCTTTTTTTCTCCAGCGGCCACTCAGCATCGACGGACAGACTTTTTCTCCGGCGAATTCTCTCCGGCAGACTCCCTCCGGCAACCTGGAAAAATGTACCAGTACGTTAAAAAGTGTACCAATCCATTAGTCTACTGGTAATTAATTTACCAGTGCTAGTGGTACGCTACCAGTAGAGCGCTACCACTATCATATTGTATCGTACCACTAGCACTGGTAGCGTACCACTAGCATTGGTAGCGGTGCCAGTAGAGAATAGCACAAAAAAACATATGATAGTGGTACCAAATGATAGTGGTACGCTACCACTACCAGCTACCTTATGGTAATGGTAGGGACCACTATCACTGGTACGCTACCAGAAGAAAAATGGTACCACTAAAAAACCAGATCTAGAAAAGGGCAGTTGGTGACGGGAGAGAGATACAGAGGGGAGAGGGTTACCTTGCGACGCCGACAATGGTGGGGGACGAAGGGAGAGGATGATTGTGTCGCGGTGGGCCGGCGGGAGAGATTTGCAACAACAGGGTGTGGAGGGAGGCTGAGGATGGGGGAGACGGCGGCGGTAGAAGGCTCGACAGGCGGCTGCAGAAGACAGGGGCGCCGACGCCGGCGGTGGAGGGCTGTGGCAGCGGAGGGCTCTGCGGTAGAGAGGGGGGAGAGACGGTGATGGCTGCGGGAGAGAGGGAGGAGACACGGAGGAGAGAGAGAGAGGGAGGATGGAGGAGTTAGGGTTTTTTACTATTTATATGGTAGGGTGAATGATTGGGTGTGGTAAATTTTTACCCTTCCAAAAATACCCTTCCTTTAATCTTAACCGTTAATTTAAAAAAAGAAGAAAGAGACAGGAGAGAGTGCGTATCCAAGAGCTATGAAGTGGGTTGTGAATCTGACAACCCCCTTAATGGGTTGTCACCGTATCTCGTCCCATTGATCGATCCAATTGGGGACATGATTCTTTTTCCATTCACTACGATTTAAGATGCCTGTCTGACAGGGGTCCAAGATAGGGTGCATATCCATAGGGTGCATAACCCATGGTTATGCACCCGTCAATAACCCAACAGGAGCCGTCTATCTGGAGCGGGGAGATCTAACGGCTGGGGTCGGAGCGGGGTGGGGCAGGGGTATTTTTGTCCATTATTTGAATTTATGTCTTTCCCTCTTTATTCCTTTTTGGTTATTCTCGGCCGAGCTGGAATTGGATTTATGAGAGAGAATGAGAAGTAAACAGAGCAATCAAGAGCTTTTCTCCGAATGATTACTCGATGGCGAGAAGGTCGGTGGAGGACGCGATTCTTAGCTTAATCGGCGGCGGACTTGCAAGTTATTAGTTGTTAGGTTTTCTTCTTCTCTTTTCTTCTTCTTGATCGAGGTTTTGGCGCGATTTGCTTGTGTTGAAGTTTCTGCTGGCTGTTGTTTGGTCTCCGTCGAGGTAATTTATAGTTATAGTAGGATTTTATGTTTTCGCATTGATTCCGTTCTGTAATTTGTTTTTGATTTTGTGTATATATGATTTATCTGCGTTTTCTCTTTTGTGCTCTCTGTTTTCTGTTCTTGGTGATCTGTTTGTATAAGTTTGATCTGTTTGTATAAGTTTGTTCAGTTGATTGATCCGTAGTTGAATTTATGTTTTGTGCAGGAATTTTTTGAATCTTCTCTGTTGACTCAGCTTTTTTAATGCAATGAGTGATCTTAATCAAGGCGTCATTGTTTCTTTGAATGAATCTAATACTGGATCTAGTTCTTCTCATAGCGTTGTTGAATCGGGAGGTAAGAATTTTAAATGTGTTTGGTAAGTTGAAGTTTGTATATATGTTATACCATACAATACCATGTTATACCATAAAATACCATACTGGTATTTTATGGTATTTTTGCATATGAGTGTTGTGTTTTATTTGTTGTAGATTTTTTTATAGTTGTTGTGATTTTATGTTTCTGTATATATGTTATACCATACAATACCATGTTATACCATAAAAAACCATACTGGTATTTGTAGAGTTTTTGAATGTAATAAACTTTACCATATTATACTATGGTGGTATTATATTTTGTACAAAATTAATGTTTCATTCTTTTTATGTTTTAGGTTTTGAGGTATAGATCCTAATGTTCGAAGTTCCTGGAACAAGCTTGAGTTCGGTATAGCTGATGATGCATATAAATTTTATGTGGATTATGGGAACTATAAAGGTTTTTGTGTGAGGATTTACCATCAGTCGGCATGTCCGAAGCTTAATAATGGTTCAAATGCGGTTTATTATATTAAGTATTGTTGTAATAAGGAAGGCTGGAGGATTGGTAGTGAGAATAATCATGCTAATCGTGGTTCTGTTGATGTGAAGGATCGTGTTCGTCGTGTTCCAGAAATCAGGGGTGGATGTGATGGTGCCTATATTTGAATTAGGTGGTTTAGGGAGTTTAAGTGTTATAAGATTTATAAGTGGTATGATGTGCATAACCATGACATGATTCCTCAGAGTATGCGTCACTACATGAGATTGAATAGACAAATGGCTCCTGTCTATAAAATGTTGGCAGATGTGAATGATGCTGCTGGTATAGGTGTGACCAGTGCAGTCAAAATCGCGCATTAAAATGTAAAAACTTACGTTTTTACGTATCCAGGCCACCAAAACGTTTCAATTTCTACCTAAAGTCGCTTAGTCACAAAAACTGGTAAAAACATGGGTAAAATCGATAAAATCGCTTAAAATCGCGATTCTGATGCATTTTTATACGATTTTGATCATCTCATAAAAATGTGCTAATTGGCCCAAAATGATGTAGTTTTGGAGACATATCAGCAAAGTTTATAAAAAGGATAACATGATTCATCACTCGTTCTACAACTAGTGTCGAGAAAGGGGCTTCACATTAGGTTGAAAAGACACCTAATGGTAATCTCAACAGTCGCTGACCTTCTATCAGTCTTCTCCCTTAATCTTCACTTGTGGCTCTTACCTGGGTTACGATAAAAGTTTATGGGCAATTGATCGTAGGTAATTATGTAAACTCAAACCAGCTTATGAGAATTTAGATTCTCAAGCTCGTTTACGGGTTACGATCTACGTTTATGAGCTTATTATTAAGATGTTATGAGTTTTCTCTACTTTGGAGTCAATACAAATTAGTTTATGTGTTAGATATTACATTTTAATTATGAATTTCATGTAGTTATTCACTTATCTAAATCTACACACTCATGTTTTACATACTATATGTTGTACTTAACATATTTTAGCTATTTTAGAGGATGCGTAAAAAACTTACGCTTTTACGCTTTGATTCTACGTTTTACGATTTTACCAATTTCCCGCTTTTAGGTAGAATCGCGCTTTTAACTGCATTGGGTGTGACTGCTTCGTATAATGCAATTAGTACAGCTGGTGGTGGTCGGAAGTGTATTGGTTTCACAAGAAATGATTTGAAGAACCACCTACGGACAGTGAGGATGTCATCAATGGAGCATGGTGATGCAACTGCATTGCTAAAATACTTTAGACGACAAGCTAAACTAGATCCTGGTTTTTTTCATGAGGTAGAGGTTGATGTGGACGAGAATATTGCTAGTATTTTTTGGGGAGATGGGAAGATGCGGATGGATTATCATTTTTTCGGGGATTCAGTTAGTTTTGATACTACATACAGAACGAATAAAGAGTATCGACCACTAGGTATGTGTTCTTATTTTTGTGATTATTCTGTATTATAGTTATTTTGATTTGATATTATGTTGTTATCTGTTAATATTATGGTGGTATTTTGTGGTATTCATTACGTTGTTATCTGTTAATACTATGGTGGTATTTTGTGGTATTCATTTTTTAACACTATGTACCACATGGTATGTGCAACTCTGTTTGTTGGTTTCAACAACCATTATCAACTCAATGTGTTTGCAGCTGCCCTTCTATATGATGAAACAACGGCAACATTTGAGTGGTTGTTTAATCAGTTTTTGTAATGCATGGGAGGTGTGAGCCCGTCGTCTATTTTTACTGATCAGGCTGCTGCAATTGCTGCTGGTATAAGGTATGTTTTCCCAAGTTGTTTCCATGGATTGTTTATGGCATATCTCACAGAATGCAGTTGTTAATCTGGGATCTTTGTGTGATTCGGCTTTCCTTTGTGAGCTTAGCTATTTGATGTACAATGTTAATGATGAGGATGATTTTGAGTATAATTGGAAAAGAATGATAGATAAGTGTTTCCCTGGGAAAGGACCTCTTGGATACAGTTGGTTACAAGGTATTTACAAGGTCAGGGAGAAGTGGTCATCGGCTTGGGTGAATTCTCATTTTGGTGCTGGTATGAAGAGCACCCAGTTAAGTGAGTGTTGCAACAGTAATCTTCGTCATTACTTGCAGTCAGAATTTAGTATTCCTAGGTTCTTTGTACATTTTGATAGGATGCTTGGTAATAAGAGAGATGTTGAAGAAGAAGAAGAAGAAGAAGAGGAGTACAGAGCACTTTCTACGTTTGCTGATTGTCGCTTTTCATGCAGTGATATTGTCAAGCAAGTTGCTGATCTATATACGCCAAAAATATTCCAGCTTTTTTCTCGGGCAGTACAAAGAATCTCTTTCATACAATGTTTTCCCTAATACAGAGTTTTCTCAAGAAGGGAATGTAAAGATCTTTGATGTCTTTATATTGTTAGCAGACTTTTCAAGGTTTGACAGCAGACTGCTGATAGTTGATTTTGATAATGGTGAAATTAAGTGTACTTGTCGCAAGTGGGAGTCAAGTGGTTTGTTGTGTAAGCATCAATTGAGGGGATACGATTTGTTGTGGTCTACAACTTGCAATGTGAAGTTCCATCACATCCCTTCTACTTTGATTTTGAAGCGATGGACAAG